TACCAGAATCTACTACACACCAGACAACAACAAGCACACAAGAAAAAGGCAACTGTAAGGATCTGTGAAACCATTAGCTTTTAGAAACTTTTCCCTCCTGGCTTTGGCAGCTGCCATTTGTCTGTCAAATAAATCCTTAATTTGCACATGTTGCACATGGTTTTGCATTCATGAAACATGAATGGAAAAAAAAAAATCCCTCCAACAGATCTAATGTGTCTAATGAGAGAAAAAGAAAGAAGAAAATGGGGAGGAAGGGGGAGGGAATTACATTCAGTTATTTTATTTCTGTTTTGAACTTTTATTCTGGGAGGGGATTTTCTTACCTTATAGGTATGGCTGCCTTTCTGCTCAGGTAGAGGGATACCTACATGTTCCCAAGAAACATCTGTTCTACCACAAACATACCTGCCACTCTTAGGACAGCTTGGCCAAACTGTATCTCACTTGGAAATTGGGTGTCTCAGTCATGGCCTGGTTTGCTCCTCCATCTACACTTCCTGTTCCTTCATTTCTGAGTCATCACCAGCAATGGATTTAAGGTTGGTCTCTATTTCTCTTTCCACTGAGACATTCCTTACATGTATAACCAGCCTCACATTTGCCTCCTAACCACTGTCTGGGGCTTGGGGTTACTTTTGGTTCTCCAAACCCCTGCAGTTAGAAAACACACTCTAATTTCCTTGGCTGCCAGTCAGGGCTCACTAACAGGAGCCTAGAAGCAAAGCTGAGCTGGAGTTTGCTGAAATGAGGGTGAATTGATGCAATGGGATCCAGTTTGTAGCAGAAGTTATTAAAACTGAGGTATAATGACAGCAGTTTTTTTCCAAGGGAGGATGCATCCAGTCCATCTGTGTTGTAAAAGATGCAACTGCCATGTGTCTGGGTTTTGTTGATCTTGCCTCATTTTCTGACTGGAAATATCACTCCTTCTGGACTGCTGAACATCGAGAAATTCAGGCCAAATGGACATGTATTTTTCAGATCCTGTCTGGACAGATCTTCTGGGCAGGGAAAGAAGGCACAGCTGGTAAATCTGAATCCTAGGCAGATGTTCCGCCCGAGAATGGTGAGCCCAGCTCACTAAAGATGGGTAAAGGCCTTTGAACATGCAGTATCCTGTATGGGGACATGTATTTCTGTCCAGAACATCTCTGGCAGACTTGTGGAAGTCTGAGGAAGAGAAGTCTTCGCGACTGTCGACAGAAAAAGGGAGAAATAAAGGTGGAAATTCATTCACTGTGCAGCTCTCCGGCTAAATTATGTCTTTGGTCATGTATTGGCCTTGATTTCCCACCTAGATTTTACACTAGAAGCTGGAGCACACTGATTAGATGTCCTTGCCCTACATTGATGGTGGGCTTTTGTTTGCTGTCGGTCAGCAGCAGCTGTGGAGCACAGATTTGATGTGCCAGTGATCGCTACATGATTGCATTTCTTGCACAAAGTGGAAGAAAGCCTAATGCCACATCCTTGCATTTCCCATAACAAGACACAGCAGTTAATTTTTAGTTTTGTGGTTTTTTGCTGTTTTGTTTTGTTTTGTTTTGTTTGGGGGGGGGGGGGAGGTGTTTGTTTGTTTTGGGGTTTTGTTTGTTTTTTTGTTTTGTTTTAGTTTTTAAAGCTATTTAAATCAACAGGGAGTGCCCATATTTCCTTGGTCTGCAGAGGAATAGATGAGTGGATGGCATTTGTTTCTTCCCAAGGGGTTGAGGCTTTTTTAGAAATTAAGAAAAGGAGAGAAATAAAACAAATGTTCTCACCCATCTGTCAGCAGTCCATTAGCAAACAAGTCCTTGGCAGCAGGGGAAGGAAGGGCATTTACCTTCCATCTAAGGTGGATGGTGGGGCAGAAGCAATACTAGTTGGCTTGTGGCAGTGGCAGTGTGTGAGGTCACGTTGGAGCTACTCCTTTGGCAACAGCCAGCCTTGATGCTTCTTTTTCCTCCCTGTCTTCTGCTGACTGAAATTTCCCTTTGCATACAATGCAGTGTCATGGAGTGGGTGAGGTTCCACATCCCCTGCCAGTGCTGGGTTTATCTGGTTATGTCTCAAAGAGGAAGCTACTTTCCAAGAAAACCTCCCCACGTGAGCTTGAAGTGCTTTGCAGAACTTGCCTCACCAAAACTTTCCTTGTCTCACTAGCAACTGTTATTATCTTCTTGCTTCCTCACACTTGGAGCAGTCTCAGGAGAAGCCAGAAAGCAGTGGGGTTGCCCTCTCCAAGCAGCTCTGGCCAGCTTGCCTCCTCCCCTTTCCTCAGCCAGCACGTTTCTATAACACTTTAGATGCCCCTATCCACACTGTGGAAAAGCTGTGTGAAAAATGGAAAAATATGATCAGCTTAAATTATGGTCTACAGTGACAGGATGGGTAAAATGAAGCTGTTTTTCTATTTACACTGTGCTCCGTGGAGACAGCGAAGCTTTGCTCGGGCTTGGTTGAATAATGAGCCACTAAACAGAGAACCCCGCATATCACTTAACAAACAGCTCCTCACAGAATTCCTGTTAATTATGCCATTCCTTCTGATTAGATTCAGCTGATTTCTCACTCACTCACTCTCACATGACTTTGTGCAAGGCTCTATGATGCCTTGTGAGAACAGCACTGACACATCCGTGGTGACACAGTCATTAGATAGCCTGAGAACTCGCACTTCCCGGCATGGTCATTTTGCTTGCAAACTGATACTGCTGCCATGCAGCAAAGGTCTGTGCTCGTGTCTAAATTGCTGCAAACCTGCAGTGCAGATTTTCAGTGGGGGGGAAAACAGGCAGAGGGTCAAATCTGCTTCCTGAAGATGTGCGTAATCCCCCAGTGCTGGGGGATGGTTGTGAGGATTTATTCTCGTTGCAGAGTTGGCGACGCCAATGTGGCAGTCACAGCTTTCTCCATTTTTGTTCTTCACTCTTTGTCTGCAACTGGGCCTGTGATGTACTCCACACTGGCTAAATGGCTGTAATCCTGCAGCAAGAAGTAAGGTGGGAGGAGGAGAGCGTTTTCCTGGGAACTCAGGCATGGTGGCAAGGGAGCCCATGCTGATTCAGGCAACAGAATACAAAAAGAGCTTGAATAACAAGAAAACAGCAAATGAAATGTTCAGATGCAGAGGGTTGCATTGGCACCTCCTTTACCTATTTTGCCAGTAGCTCCCTGTGTTGTGGGGTTTATGTTTATTATTTCCCCCCTATGTGGTAATGACATGGTCGGACCTAAAGAAGAAGGAAGGGAAGGTTTGGGAAGGTTTGGGAAGAGAAGGTTTAGGAAGGGAAGGTTTGGGAAGGGAAGGGAAAGGAAGGAAAGAGGAAAGGGGAAAGGGGAAAGGGAAGGGGAGTGCTGGTGCTTCATGTAGAGATCTTTCAGGCCTGGGGATGAGCACCACAGTGCTCATCCAAGTCTGTATTTCTGCTTTCAAATATCTTAGTTTGACATAGCAGAGAAAAGTAGTGGTAGCACTTCACTTTGGTAGCTCTTAATAGTTCTTTTATGCTCTCAAGCAAGTACTGATTTCATCCTCCGTCTGCATACCAACATTTGTCTTTGAAACACTTTAGCTATGGCACGAAAAATGGTTTCTGCATTAACCAAGGTCAGCAAGTGCAACTGTGAACCTCTGCTTTGCAAAGCTTCTTAAAACACAAACATTTGTGCTGCATACATACTTTGTTTATAATCTTATCCCTGTGTATATGGCTTTCATAGCAAACTGTGGGATATATCATTCTTTCTCTTACAGTGTAGAAATGGTGTATAAAAATAAGATTGAGTCCTTTATTTATAGTTGTCAAGAACCAGATGACAGAAAACATCTTCTGCTTGAAGAATGATTACTGCTGGTGTTTCCTGGGTACCCTCTTCATCAAACAGTGGGAATGTTTCTTGTCTTTAGTATCACATCTGCAATGTTAGAGCCAGGAAAATGTCAATACCTCCATTATTATGAGTCCCTGCTTTCAAGGATTAATAATTTCACACATACTCACACGCAGGCAAAAGCATCGGAAACTGAAATTTGGCACAAACATTTGTAATCCAAGAGCAAAGCTCACTTCTGCAAAATGATCTCTGCAGTTCTGAGCCTGAGAGAATTCTCAAGGTGCCTGCATTTTATTTTTTATTTTGAGTCAGTTCTTTGGAAATGATACAGTCTCACTTGCTATCTGGCAAGGACCCGTTTGTATGTCTGAAGCTCTCAGTAGGGGAAAAAAAACCCCTGTGGTTTACTTTGTCATGCTTTCTTGCTTTTCTAATGGAGTTTTCTCTAGATGCCAAGGAAAGGGAGATGGTGAAGTCCCATTGGTACAGTGGAATCCCTCCCTCCCTTCTAAATTTATCCGTTCAATATTCCAGCCTCCCATTGTTTAAAGCCCCTTTATATGTCGCTGAATTCTATGTGTAAGGAACACTGCGCAGGAAAAATATTACTGCATAAAGAAATCAAAACTCCAAGTAACTCCCTAAACACTGGAGTAAAGGAAGTCTGGTTTACCATGGGTTTTTGTTTGAGTTTTTGGTCAACTTCAGTTTTACTAATATATGAACTGTAACTGAAATTTTCCCTATAGCTAGACATTTAAAGTCTGTCTTTCACTCTTTCTCTCCTTCTTGCCCTTTCTTTTCTCTCATGTAAATTTTAATTAGCTCTTTCTGTTTTAATGAATTTCACTGAAAGTTGTATCTTTGACGTCTCTTCCCATATTCCTACTAGATTTTATTTTTTTTTTTAATTGGTGAACAGATTCAGAAGTATTGCCAGGTCTCATAGTTGCACATAATTAAAAATACACGTACACTGGAAACACACAGACCTCATTAGCTTAGAAAAGCAGGTTTAAAAAAGCCCTGTGGCTCTCTCAACTTTGTGTGACATTGTCTCATTTGTCCAAGAATGACTATTAATCTAAGAACCTGCAGTAGTATTGTGAATTTCTCATCAATCATTGCCTGATGATCTTTGGGCACCTATGCAAAACGTAAATAAACCAAAGCGCCACACATAAGGCAACGTGCCCAGTTTGATTTTATTATGCAACTGGCAAGTTGCTAAATTACAGAAGTGTTGGTGAAGACAAATTTGAACAGATGTTTTTTTCATGGTGATGTAAAATTTCGTGTCAAAACCCAGGACTTGGTAGCATTCAGAACACCCACGCTGTTGTTGATGATGATGAGGGAATACAGTCCAGTTCAGCTTCTTCCAGAGGCCTGACATCCCTCCTTTGCGCTTCTGGGCTGCTGGCTTAAATAATTCACTCGTTCTGAAACCATGCACTTGCTTCCTCCCTCAGTCACTTATCCAAAGTATGAACAAACTTCCTGAAGTTATCACTTCATATTTCAGCTTGTAAAACATGGCATTTCAGGGCTTTTGCACAAGCTGCCTTGGCTGCTGCTCCTGCTGTTAAGCCATAGCACGACGGGTGCCTGGAATCCAAAATGCAAGTGGAGGAAGAGTCAGGCATTTAATACACCCATCCACGCACGTAGTGCTCTAATAATCATCAGTCAGGATGAATATTAAAATTTCCAGACTAGAAACAGGGGTAGGAAATGTGCTGTTTCATAAGGAGGTACTCTTCATTTTCTTATTTAACTGATACAACTGGGTCAGAAACAACCAAAGTCAGTTCATGATTAATGTGTTGAGGGCAACCTACTCCAACTCTGACATAGCAGTTACCTTTTCCCAGTTGAGGTTTCCCTCAGCTGAGGCTGAACAAACTCTTGGGCAACCTGTGTATAGAACACATCTCTTCTTTGAGCTGAAATGGTCTTGGCTTGGAATTAGAAGTATTTCTAAGGCCATCATTTGGATTTACAGAATCATAGAACATGCTGAGTTGGAAGGGACCCACAAGGATCATCGAGTCCAACACTTAGCCCTGCACAGGACCATCCCCAAGAATCATACCCTGTGCCTCTGAGAGTATCATCCAAACACTTCTTGGACTCTGTTAGGCTTGGTGCTGTGACCACTGCCCTGGGGAGCCTGTTCTAGTGCCCAACCACCCTCTGGGTTTAGATTGACCTTTGGACTTCACAAGGTGCTGCAAGAGCACCTGCAGTAAGAAATGTGGGCCAGCCAAGCCCAAAGGTCTCCCTCTCCCTGAGGACTGTCTGCACAAAACAACAAAGCCAAAAGCCTGCAATGAGAAGCTGAATACGGGGAGGAGAATGTTAACCTAGATAACATTTGTGTAGTATAGACCTGCATGCCATGCCAGGTCAGCTCTTTAACAATACAGAGAAACCAAAAAGTCACATCAGAGACTGATCTTCAGATAATCTCAGTGGGAAAAGCCTGAAACAAAAAAAAACCTGCTTGAACAAAGTTCCTAGGTATTTTGCCTTCAGTTACAGTACCCACATACCTCCATGAGCTGGAGTCTCCTGCTAAGTGGTGACCTCAAAAGGGAAAGACAGCACATGGTATTTCAGTGCTGGATGGTGTACAAAACCTACAGTAGGTGCCCTGTGTGGCCTTCTCAGAGAGTGCTATAAGGGTATTCTGGTGTTAACTGAAACTCTTCATATGCCTCCTACTTTTGGTAATGACGATTCCCCTGTTGTTATCAGGTCAGGGGAATTTGCCCTGTAAAAATAGTTTTTGCCGCAAGACTGACAGGACAACTTCAATATAACGAAGGTAGGTAACTCTAGACCCAGAGGACTGGAAGAAAGTGGAAAAGTCAAGGCAGTTGCTTAATGGCTGACAGGTAATTAGTACGTATATCAATGGCAGATAACAGTGCTCATCTTCTCCAGGAGTTTTGTAGCACACTGCATCACCTGTTCTTTCTGTAGAAATCACCCCAAAACCTGTGTGAGATGTTCTGCTTATACATTTTTCCCTGCATGAATTATGCTGATATAAAACTAATGGAATAGAGAGGAGCACTGGGACCTCTGTCATCAATGTCCACACCAATATGACAAGCACTAAAAAGCACCAGTTCCTCAGTAGTGCAGAGAATGAGTGCTGCACTGGATTGTATTTCTGGAACTATTATTGCAGAGAGACTTGTCAGAAGCATACACGCTGCGGATGAAATGGGTATGGAATCACAGAGGCTAATGATAGAAAAAGGCCATTTATGTCAACTGCTACATTTCCCTGCAGGTATAGGATTGTTCCCAATGAGATACAGTGTATTTTTAGTGCTTTGTCCAGTCAGGTTTTATATGTAAATAATAAAGATTGGCACCCATAAAAGATCCTGAAATAGTTTTATTCTAGTTCTGCCTTTCCTCTTCCCTCCCTCCTCCCCTCTTTAATTTCTTATTCAGGCTAAATGAGAACAGGAAAGACAACCATGCTTTTTTTTTTCCTCTTTTCTGTTCTCTCTTCTTCCTACTGTTTGACCCTCTTCATAGACAGGGTTTCTCTGACCTGATTTTTAAAAACCTGCATTTGCACAGTTCAGTTTTATACACTTCTCTATCACAGGGTTGATTTAGGAGGTTCTTCACAATGTGGAGATTCAGTTTGAGAGGCAGCAATCTACTTGTAAGCCAACCTGGAAAATAAGTAATAAGCAACTTAGCCAGTTGCATCTCAAGTGGACAGAACTTGTATGGCACAGCTTTCAGGATGCAAAGTGTTTGGCTTGGAACTCATCTGTGTTAGGAAATAACCTTGTCCTCAGTGGTTGGTCATTGCACGAGCCAGAAGTCAAGAGGAGAGGCTGAGGAAGTTATGGCTCAGGGGCTGTTACCTTGATGAGGGAATGGCCCTCAGCACATCTTGTCTTTGATCCATGTGCACTCACATCTCTGCTTGGAATCTGGGGAACATAATACCTTTGAGTCAGCAAAACAGTGGGCAAATTAACGTCCTCTTTGTTCCTGATGGGAGAAACCATCTATATGGTGGCCTGAATGAGAACAGAGAACAAAAAGACTGAGGGGCTGAATTAACACCAGCTGAGTGTGCGTGCCCAGTCTGCAGGAAAAGAAATACAGAGAGATGGAAAATGAGGACACACCACAAAATTACTTGTCATCTGCTGTTAAGATAGAGCTGTGGAGAGAGAAAGAGAGACCAAGAGAAAAAAAGAAGTTCGGTTATGGATTGTGTTGGCTGAAAAGAATCTTGAAATGGAAACTGCGTCCTATTGTCTGCCCATGCTGAGTTCAGGAAAATAGGGCTCCTGACATCCTTTTTCAGTGATCAGTCTTGCACTAAGCACCCAGGTCCAGCACTAGCTTCTTTTCCCAAGTGAAACAACCCTCAATATTGGCCATTCTCTGTGGTTGCTTTGAGAAAACAAACAAACAAACAAACAAACAAACAAAACCCAAAACAAAAAACAAAAAACCAAAAAGGTGCTTTTTCTCACAAGAAAAAGAGAGGCAAAGAAGGAGGAACTAGCTGAAAGTACATACCTAAACCATGTTGTCCCTCAGTGACAGGCTGTCGTGGCCCATGTCTTTGGGAAGCCCTCCCAGAAGCTGCTGAAAGTAAAAAAGGCATTGTCCCTTACTTACTCCAACTTATTCCTGATTTACCCCAGGGAGAGAAGAAATTGTATCCAAGAGGCTCTGAATTTATAGCTGTCCTTCTCTATATATAGCTCCTGATGTTTGTGACATTGATTTCTGTATCCACAGTGAAATACTCACTTCACACATCTATTTCTAATAGAAAACTCACTGGTAATCATGTTCAGGCAATCAGAAGAATCACATCTGTGTCTTAGCAACAGAAAACATTGCTAAATTGAAAAATGGTCAGCAACAATCTCACACTGTTGTCCTTCCACTGTCACAAGAGAAGTGAATGATATTAAAATCAGTTCATAATTGTGAAATGGCATGAATTTTTTAAGGTAATAACCACTGACTCAACTATTTGATCTTTATTTTTACCTCTTCCATCTTGCCATTCTACCTTTCAACCTTCCTCCTCAACTTGCTGTTGCATGCTGGGCTTTCTGAGTGTGGTCCTTGGGGTTTACCACTATCTTTCCCAAGAAACGTGTCTTTAGCTGCTTTTCTCCCATTGCAATTACAGGATGCATTTTACAAGCTGAGTCCTTTGGTCTTTAAAAGTTTATTCAGTTTTAACCACTCAATTCACAGCCCTCGTGTCCCATTTTGTCTTCTATCGCACAGTAACCAACATTTTGATTTCTTCAGTGTATCCATGTTTCCATGGTGAAGAGAATATGATCATCTTTTCTTGTGGCTTTCCAGATTTGAATGGTATAAACTACAGACTGACTTTCTTAGTATCTTCTAAAATGCTTTGAATCCTTTTTGTTCAAGTTAAATATACTTTATTTAAAACCAGGTGATTATTAGATATATGTACTTCTGAGTCAAGTAAACTAGTGGTCTGACCTCCAGAAAATTTCACCCAACTACCCTTAACCTGTGTTCAGCATCTTGTATTTGCCTAAAGTATCTGTTCCAGAAAGGCACCTGGGCTTGAGATAAAGGATTCACCTCTTAATGTGCTAATTTGTGCAAATAATTAATTATGATCTTAGAACATTGGTCTTTATTTCTCACTTGAATTTCTCCAGATTTAACTCCCAGATATTGATTCATGTTTGGCTTCTGCTTGGTAAGAGTACATAAGGTACTTACAATAAAAGAATATTCTATCTTCTCTTTGACAGGCTAAACATATGGAGCTCTTCAAGACTCTGCTTGATGCTCTTCCTGAACCAAATCATGGAAACGGATTGTGCTGCACTCACTGTGCTATGGGGGAAACAATGGGAGCATTCTTGGCACAGAAATTCTTCTCCATCGAGGCTTGGGAGAGGAGGAAAAAGAGGAGGGGAGGGAAGCTGCAAAGAAAGTCATCTGTGGATGAAGCCAGGTGTCCATGTGTGCTGCATCTCTGGAGTTACTTACCTGCTGTTCTGGAAAAGTGGTGTGAGGCAGTGACCTGCCCACAGCACAACTGGTCTCTAGCTCTGATTTCAGGTCCTGAAACTCACCTGGCAGGGACAGGATCCAGATTTCTCTGCAAACATGACCAAGTGATCAGACAAAAGCATTTAGTCTTCATCATAATGAGCTTTGGATAAAATAAAGCAACTGTGCTAGGGAGAAAAATAAAATACTTTTTATTTAATTTCCTTTTGAAAGGAATATTTTGTCAGTTATGTATCATAGAATGATAGGATGGTTTGGGTTGGAAGGGACCTTAAATATCATCCAGTTCCAACCCCATTGCCAGGGATGGGGTATCCACAACTTCTCTGGCATAAAACCTATAACATTAACCTGCCTGGAAGAGTATCAAGCCTCTACCTGTACTCTCATACCAAAACAGCTTCATTTAAAAAAAGATTAAGCTGAAAACATTATCTCATTTATATATATATATATATATATTTATATATATGTTGACATTTTTCATCCTCTTGAGTATTTTGCTGCAGATGATTTTTTAAATATACATTTCAGTTTTATATTATGCTTAAACAGGTAAAATTATTATTTATTTATAGCTTTTAAAAAATTGTATAGAAAACACAAAATTAAGGACAATATTCATGCACAGCATTTATGCAATTCCCAAAGATGCTTATAGAAGGTTGCTCCAAGGAAAGTATGCTAGGGTGAGTTGACCCAAGTTACAAGTTTAAGATCACAATATTAAACTACTAAATACCACATTGCCGTGTCTGAAATGGCTGGTATGGGGTTAGTTCTTGTTAGTGCTACTTGTAGAATTTTAATGCAAAACAAAAAATAAGCTTGGTGAGTCTAGAAAAATACCTTGAAGAATGTGAAATTCTTTCCAAGCTGGGCCAACTCATTTTTTCTGGGTTGCAATGTAAGTAAGCTGCACCACATGAAATGTATAAATGCATGGAAAATGATAAACATTGCCAAGACTGTTTGATGTGATAATCTATTCTTCATGACTGTTGTGAACACTTCCTATGTCTTGCATTTTCTTAAAGTGGATATATTTATCGTAAGCCCAGTGATTCAGAGCTTGAGAGGTACAAGGCTCTTTACTCCCATCTGTAGGTAAAAAGGGAAAGAAAATGCGTAGGGCTGCTTTTATCTAGCTGTAAGCTCAAAAATGCTTCAGAGAGGAGAGATCTCTTGCTGTTATGCAGTGGTAAACAGGGCAGGATGTGCAGCTCCGGTTCCCATATCCAGATTTTCTCCTGCTGCACAGCACCTACAGGTGATCCATGTGCTCACCTACAGCAGGTGAGCCAGTATTATGATTTGCCACCTTCAAGAACCCCGTCTTGCATCCTTTTCCCTCCTCCTCTACTCATGCCATACCTTGTCCCCACTCCTGTTTGCATGGTCCTGACCCTTCCTTTCTTCTCCTCAGCCGCTGCCATGAGTTAACTCAGCTCCTTCAGTCAGGAAACAACTACTCTTTTCTTTCCTTTTAATAAGTTATTTTTTCTGCCTGGCCAGGGAACTGCTCAATGAATCCAGTAAGCCCTGGAGCTGATGCATTGTTGCCTTGTTATGAGTCTGGGCTCCTGGCTCCTCTTCCCGAAGGAACAGCCGTCCCTCACTGTCCCTCAACACTGCAGTCCAAAAATTCATGGAGTAACAGGACGATGCCTGCTGGGCCTGCAGTCTGCCATACAATGTGCCAATAGTTGCTTGAGGATATCAGGAAAGCACTGGTGCTTTCTCCTGAGAATGCTGCTCCACCAAAGCCTCTCCATACTCGGAATCAAGTAAAATTAATCACAGTGGGATTAGCCTTGTGGACTTAATTGACAGCACAGCACCTAAGGTGTCAAAGGACCTGTCTGCCAAATGAGGAAAAAATCCCAGACAGATCCCAAACTGTAAATCTTGCAGCCAGGAGCTCCAAGGAGAAATGTGTCCTCTGCTCCCCTTGCTGGTGAATGAAGGGAAAGCCTGAACACAGAGACCTCGCACAGGCAAACTGCAGCAGGCTGCAACTGGGAGATCAGCACAGCCACAAGTGAGACCCCAGTGGACTGCAGGGGGGTTCAGAAACCTTCTGGGATGAAGAGTTTCTTCCTAAGCATTGGCAAGCCCATGCAAGCTTCCTACACACACTGAACACTGGAAGAACTGACCCCTGGGAAGGTGGACATGGGTGGCAAAGGACCTGCTGCACTTTAATATATGGAAGATGGGAAGATGCATGGATGTTGGAATGTGTGGAAGTTGCATTCACCTGCTGGGCACACATGGAAAATTAGTGAAGTTAGACTGCTGCTAAAGGTGTCCCAGGGAAGCCTGTTCTTTTGTATAGAGGGTGGCTACACTTTCCCAAGCTGATGTTATGTTCCCTTTTCTTCCCTCTTAAAAACATTTTTTTTTTATGTTTCATGCTCAGGTTTGTAAGAGGAGAAGAACTGCTTTTTCACAATACAGTAGAAGGAGTATCTGGTCTCAACTGCAAGTATGGATTGTTCCTAGGAAAGACTCTACTGTCTTACATGGTCAGGTGTTGCCTCCCACAGTTTGTTCTTCCAGCCACGCAGGACCTTACAGATGCTCTTCACCTTTATGAATTTAATTTGAATTACCACGTGCTGAGTTCAGCAAAAGCTTAATAGATTCTTTTTTGCTGGGGATTTTTGATACCAGATCAGACAGACGTCTGTTGGGTGTAGAGTGTCATGCCCTTGGGAAAATAATAGACCCACGATTCCTCAGGAATCATCCAGGCTTTGTTTCTGCTTTTCTTTGTTGACTTCTTAAGAGAATAAAATTTGGAGGAAAATTATGGTAATATAATGAGCTCTGCCCAGTAAATGTTGGATACAGTGCTTTGCAAACCTTGCAGAGCATTTCAGGACTGCTAGATACTTTACCACTGCTATCTGGGAAAATTTAGGTTTTCTTCATTATTTCAGGATTACCTCATTGCTTTGTTATTACTTCATGATACCTCATTGGAATAAACGTAAATGCGTGTATGCCAAAGATCAGAAATCAGACTGTTGGCACTGACTCAGACAGTCCTCAGTACCAACTTACTCTTAGGATGAAAGTTTATGATTTCATGCTTTGGTCTTTTCATTGCCTCACATGGAATGGTGTCCAGTCACCCTCCCGGTTCATTAAGGAACATGCAAAATCCCTTCTAAATTTTCATTTTTTTTCCTTTTTCTCTCTCTTACTAATGTGATCCCTTAAAAAGCACCGAAATCTAGAAAGCATAAAAACTATATTATCAAATTTTAAACAGTTCATACCAACCCCTTCAGAAATGCTTTGTGTATCCAAGTGCATGTGTAAGTTGGAGTCTTCTGACTGGTGTTCCTTAGTGATTTCAAAGGCTCGCTTTGGCCTGGACTTGAAAAGATGTGGTCTGGCCACCTAATCGTGTAACTGGAACTAAACAGGACACCTTGAGTTCCTTGTAACTTTTACTGTTGGAGTCAGTGGATGGCACAAGAGCTTTGCTTTCCTTTGCAGGCAGGATGACAGATAGATGTCTTCCACATAAGGCAACCCAAGAAGTGCCCCTCAAAATGCCCATTATCGGGTCTGAAAAGACCAGGTGGTAAATTCATACCCACCACCATGACTATTAAAGTGAGATGTGTAATGCTGCCTAGGATGTGACATACGAGGAGTCACTAAATTCAACAGCTCAAACACCTTCTCCCAGCGCTGGCTCTGCTCGGTTCCAGTTGGCTCCTTCAGCACGGTTTTGCAGTACGCCAGATATTTCATTTACAACACAGAGGTGTGTGCCTGAACATATTTGCAGGCCAGGAGGGGATTTTGGCTGGAGAGAATCATTTCTTTTTTTCCTTTGGAACAAGGAGTTAGAAAAATCCTGCCTGGAGTTGGCAGCAGTGGCTTGGTATGGGTTAAGGTGCCAATTCAGCTGTGCTCAGCCTCTGACGGGTGCAGGCAAGTGCTTTGCTGAGCGGGTTTCTGGGTCACCTCTGAGGTTTGCCCAGCTTGCAAAGAGCCTGAGTATCTCCCATGCAGATTTGGGGATGCACAGAAGCTGGTGAACTGTATGAAACAAAACATCTGATAGGAGTGGAAGTGCCAGAATGAGAAAGGACTGTGTTTTTCAGAAATAATTTTTTTAATCTGTCCTGTATATTCCTATTTTGCCATTTTTTTTTTTTTTTTCTTAAACTGCATAGGAAGTGAGAGAGAGAGTGATGTCTTTTTTACTGATGTTAAGTGTGGCTTGTGGATGAAAAGCTGGCCCAGGTTTCAGTTTTCACAGCAGATTTGAGAAGTCTGTATCTCATGCTATTAAAAGTGACTGAATCTTGGAGGTTTATCTCAATTTCACATAAATTTGAATAACCCAGAAATTTAACTCAAGTTGCAAGAAAAACTTAAAGAGATTTTTGATTCATGGGTAGTTCTGTTTATAGAGTCTCTTCCAGGCTGATTCCATATGCATTTGGGAAACAGTTTAAATTGTTCAACTGTCATTTTTTTGTAAGTATTTTTAAAGAAATTGTCCCTGCTTGTTACCTGGATAGTAATTGCCTTTCCAGTGGAGAGAAGCACCAGCTGAGAATATGGGAACCCACAAGCAGAGCCATGGTATTGGAAGGGCATTCAGACCTAGACTTCTGTCCTGGCTGATATGCAGAACCGAGATCTGGATTCATATCTCAAGCAATCCAGGCTTCCTGAGGCGCCCATATTTATGGTTTGAATTTGGTCTGAAGTTCAGTTTTACAGGAGCTATGAGTGAACTCAAGGATGGAAGTGAATCACTACCAAAACCAACTTTTGGGAAGCCACTATTAGCTTCTTCAGTGCACAGAGTCAAAAAAAAAAGGTGTATTTTAAACTACCATCACTTTTACCCTCCTTTTATCCATCACATTCCTTTATTATTCTCTTATAATCTCTCTAAATTTATAGATTACTCAAAAATAATATTTGGTAAGCATAGTCATATGTTTTTCATCAATATTTTATTTTGAAACATGGTAAAGAATTGTGTTGCACGATGAAAAACGTCTCTCTCTAAACATCATTTTCTAATGGACTTTTTTATGTCCCATAAAATCTGCTAATTTTTACTTGTCCTCCGCTGTCAATGAAACAAACTATTATTTCTTTCTGCAGAACCAAACTCCAAACAAGAATGTCTGGAATATCAAGAGTAATGATGTACAAAGTCCCTTCTGGCCCCAGCTTCTATTGAAAAATAATTGGATGAATTGGTGATGCTTACATTTCATCTAGGCTGCCACTGTGAGTAATTCCATGGTGCCTTCTTGGCCAAAGTTCAGCCATTTAAGCACTTGGTGAAAATCTGTTTGGAGGGACTCAGGGTGGGGATGTGTCAGATAACAGCAGAGTAAGAATGAAAGCTCTTTGGAATGGTGTTGCATATGTTGTCACAGCATCCAACCCCGTGCAAACAGCGTCCTGATTGTGACTTCAAGTTTCTGCCACAGTGTGAATAATAAATGACAGGGATGTTTAACCATAAAAGTCAAGCTGGCCAGGATACAAACCGGGCGAGGGAATTCAGATAGTGGAATAGGCCCTTGTGTGGTGTAAATTGTCACAGTACCATGTGATGCCAGTGGAGTTATGATTTACCCAAAGAACTGCCTCTTTGCCTTGCCAAGAAATCATTATATGGGCTGTCACCTCTCATAATGGATTAATGAACCAGAACAAAACAGATGCCAGCTTGCCAATGCTCTTATTGGGGTCATAATTTGCTAGAAAATTTTATTAGGAAAAAATTCATAGAAAAATTATTCTTTTTTCCCTTCCAAATCTTTCAGATAGTAATTCTAAAACATGTATGTTCTTCTTTTTGTCTCTTGGTTCATTTGTTTTCAGTGACTTTTTCTTCTGTTCCTTTTCCTGCCCTATTGCTGACAGGTTTTGAAAAGATTTTTTCATGTTTTCCCAGACTTCGAGATCATCCCAGAAGAAAGAGATTTGGGAGAGGACAGATATGCAGTGAGATGAGACCAGAGAGTGGGCCTGGCTGGTGATGTGAGGTGGGGACTCTGGTGGGGTCCCTGGTGGGGTTTCTGCCCCAACCCACTTTGCACAGCCGCCTCTTGGGCTGATTTGTCCTGAATCTTGGGAGTGCAGGCTGCAACCTGGGAGGGAGGCACAGAGGGAATCAGAAACAGCAGCAGCTCCCCAGACCTCCCCTCTGCTTAATGAAGTGAGAGGGTGAACTTCTGAAAGAGGAGATGACCCCTTTCTCCTGCTCTTTGGGAAATGAAGATGAAGAACAACATGTGAAGTGGAACCAGCTTGTTGTTTTGTTGTTTCCTCTCGTCCACTTGAGCAGGCACTTATTTCCATGTGAATAGCTGCATTTGAACAATTTTTTTTTTTTGGTAGCTCGAAGTTTGTTTGTTTTTTAACAAACCCTCCTGTAATGAAGTATCTCAGGGTTACACGCACATCTGTCAGCCAGTGAATGCGCCCCTGAAGGGCTGTGGGGCTGAAGCTTTGCCTGTTCATGCCTAAGGTGTGCATGCACAGGCTGACAGACACAGACTGGTATGTGCTGTTGCTTTTCCAGGGCAGCCTGAAAAGGCGGTGCCTTGACTTCACCCTGGCATTGGGATAACTGCAGAGAGGGAAGCGGGAGGATGGGAATGGACAAGTTCTGTCTAGAGCTGAGGCCTCCTCAGACAGCCCCATGACTTCATATGAACTTGTCACAAGCCGAGTCACTATTTTGGGCAGAAACACGGCCAAGGCAAAGTTGTGGTCTAAGCTCTAGACGCTACAACACAGACAGATGGGTATATGAACTTTTCTCTGTACCCAAATAAATGAATACATAAAATCAAAACATACGCAAATTGTAAATGATTCACCCTGGGTAGTGCAGGAACTAAAAGGACCTCTGGTCATTTTATGGTGCTCCTCATCACGCACATGAATTCAAAGGATCTTCCTGTTCTGACAGTGGGGAACTTCTAATATAGAGGAGTCCCACACTCCATGTGACTTCAAATCAGCATCATAGAATCACAAAATACTAGGTTGGAAAGGACCTCAAGGATCATCCGGTCTAACCTCCCTTGGTAAAAGCACAGTCTAGACAAGATGACCCAGTACCTTCTCCAGCTGCATCTTAAAAGTGTCCAGCACTGGGGGATTCACTGCTTCCCTGGGGAGATCCTTCCAAAGGCTGTTCTCACTGTGAAAAATTTTCCTCTTGCTTTTAATCAGGATCTCCCCAGGACTAACTTGTCTTTTCCATGTGATTCCTTGTAAAAATGGAGTCTCCATCTTCTTTATAGTCACCCTTTAAATACTAGAACAAAGTGTTTAATGGGTGCTGCCTTTAGGTGATATACCTGACTTAGGTGATATGCTGACTGCCCTCTCTTCATAAAGCATGTGTTATTTCCTTTACTTAGTTATAAAAATGCTTCCTAGAAAAGGCTCTTTCCCTGCAAGTGCTCTATGGACACTCTCCAGATACTAATCTGGGAAGTAGCTTGGGATCTTCCTCAGGTCTCACGAGTAGATGGGTTTCTGTAAGGGTCTGAGGGACCAGGGATGATCTCTTCATCAGGAAAAGACAAGACCTTTATCAAAAAAGGTTAACTGCTGTGGGCTGACCTCCTTGCTGCTAAGGAGGTGTATTCCCAGGGGAGGAGACAGTCCCACTGCTGGAAGACAGGGTGTAGAAGGATGTATAAAGCTAGCAGCTGGGTGGCTTCAGTTCTTTTTTACTCTGTATGAGAGCTGTAAAGAAATAGGATAGTATATCTTGGCACAGAATGAATAAGGAAGCTAAAAATGTGATTTTTGGGGTGGGGAAAGAGCTCGCAACAACGACGTCATGAAAACAACTCCCCTAAAGTGTAGCTTGGTCAAGTTCAATTCTGCTTTTTGTGAAACTGGGGAGAGCTGATCTTACAAAAACAAGTGCTTGTTGAGGTTGCTGTTGCATGGAATTGGCGTGTGATGTTTTTCTAGCAGACTCTCTTCACTGTCATCAGAGTGCAATTTCTCCAGAGTCGCTGTGGGATGCAACAGATTTCTTGGAAAAGAAGGCTGTGTTGACACCCACAGGCTAGTAATGTTTTCACAAGAAGGAACATGACTTTACATTTGACTCCCTTGAAAAGAGATTAGCAACACTGTGATTTATAAGAATTGCCAGGGTTTGAGGTTGCTTTTCTCCCCTCTCTCTGGATCTAAGTTCCAGCAGGTAGGTGTTAAGTGAGTGAAGCATATCTGGCAAGATTTATGTGCCCATACAGTAGAATGGGAGTGCAATCTGACAGTCTAAAGGAGGGGGAGCAACTGACAAACACAGGGGGTGGAAAAGGCAGATTGGCTTGGATATTTTTTTTTTCCTGTTCCTTTTCAGTCAAAACCCTTGAGACTCCACTCTTGGGTCGAAAATTTCCTTTGCACAGACATTTCCCTTCACTGTCCTTTTGTTCTAGCACTAAATATGGATCCACAGCATGTGCATGGAAAGCAGACACAGCCAAGGCTAAATCTCCTTGAAATAATGTCTTTCCTAGAAACAGATGACAAGCATTTTCCCTAGAAATGAGATATTCAATTATGAAGTTCTCTTAGAAGAAAGAAGTGCCTTTCTCACCATGGAGTCTCACAGTTAGGTAAACAGCACTGAAAGAGTGTCCTCATATAGTGGGATATCCCAGCCAGAACAGCAACAAAAGCCTTTGCTTTTCAGAAAGATGTGCACCACCCTGTTTGGTTGTGTTGATCAAATGGGTGCTGGACAGCACATCATTGCTTTTGTAGGTCCACAGTGTCAGCAGCTGCAGGACTTCTTGGCTGTTAAATGGGGAGCAACCCATAGTTATAAGATAGTTGATATAGTTTGTAAGAGCTGCCCAGAAGCTCAACACTTGGTGAGTAACAGATTACAATTAACAAGTGAGTGGGAGTAGTTCCATTAGCCCCATGATTCCTACTGAGCAAAACTATAAGAATACAAAATAGGGATACAGTTCAGATGATAATGGCATTCCTCTTGCTGTAAAACGGAACATTTTCAAAGACTAAACTAAATATATTTAAATACAAGAATTTGATCTTAAGTACATATCTAAAACTACTTCTGAGAGACATTTATCCTGAACCATGGGTGAAAATAGAGGGGGGAAAAAAACACACACTTGCTTCTTTAGCCCGTGGAAAAACGTAGACACATGGGTAATGTACTATGTGTTATCCATAGTGAAATTTAAATGTGCAATTGTGCCTATGTTCTAACAAATTTGGAGTGTCCATTAGCCACAGAAACCCACAACCTCACTCATCAGAAATTTAACAAATATCAGGTATTTCAGAGGAAACGCTTTGACTGATGCGGTCTATTTTCTGCTGGAGATACATCACAAAGAAATTTGCCATCACTCCTAAGAAAAAACCCTGCAACTTGGCTGCACCTGTGTGTGCTTGTAAGGTGACTGGAGCGACCTGCTGTTTGGGACTACTGTTGGGAAAAGCAGTAAGTCCAAGTCATCTGGAATCTTTTGTAATTCTCCTGTTTTGTGACAGCTTTCAGGATTTTAAAAACATCCTTCTTGGTGGGAAAAACTTGAGATCTTTTGAAGTTTCTCAGGAAAATGAGAAAGATTTAAAAAAAAAAAAAAGGTGAGTTTCCTGAACTGCCTGTTACCTAGGGATTTCACTGATGTGAAATGGAGAAGATATCAGGACCAAGTTTTTGTACCACTGACTTGTCACTTAATAAAACATCATCAGTGAGAGGCCATGAACTTGTTTAATCCTAAGAGATGATTGCTGTTATGACACTGTGTAGGATAGGGAGGCCAGATTTAGGTCCCTCTTTTGCCAAAAACCTCAGTTTTGCTATGTCAGTGACCTAACCACTAGTGTCTTGGCTAATCTGAGCTGTTCTCCTTCGTTGGATGCAAGCACTATTTCTGATGAAAGCCTAAGCAAAACTGGTGTGTTTCTAAAAAAGATTTATGTTCTAACAAATCAACATCTTACAATAGAAAAAAGTGTGTATCACTGGAAAATTCCCAGCTAGCTCTACTGATGAGTAAAAGTTTTGCTTTACAGATGGAGTTAATAATAGTTTATAAGCTAAAGTGAAAAGGATTTTGGGTGAGCTTCCTAAAGAGGAAGTGAGTCAGTGTCTCGGCAGGAAAGTGTTCCAGATAGGCAGGGCTGGAAAAGTTACAAAACAGCCCCCAACTGAGTGGAGTCACAGGGAGTGGACAAGGGATTATTGCATCCCAGACTGCAAAAAGCCAGTAATTATTAGGGGGCTTGATTACCCCTAAACCCATGTGAATTAAGGTATGGTCTTCTCCCATCTCACAGGCTCAGAGCAGCTAAACTGAGTCATCCCAGGGAAGGCGTAACAGCTAAGGAAGAAGCAGGTGTTGCAGATGGGTGGGTGATTCAGTGGATGGTGTTATTCCTACTGAGTCAATGCTGAAGCAGTTTGTAAGCAGGAAGTTGGGGACACTGTGTGGCTAGAAGATCTGCTTTCTAAATCCAGTGACATTCAAGGAGTCTGTGGTTCCCTCAGTGTGCTTTTCACAGGGTGAGTTGCTTTCAGTTGTTCTTGGGCACAGCGTTTCCAAAAGCAGAAACTAGAGAGGTGTTTTTAAGGTGTCTGTCAGTGGGATTTACAATCCTGAGAGTCCAGGTCAGTTTTGATCATGGACAGGTATTTCTACATCAGGACGGCATTTTTGGAAAACAGAAGTCCTGTGTTGTTGTGACTGACTTTCCAATGCTCCCAACTGGTTCCTGGAGTCTCTGAGTTGACCCTTTAGATTAAATTCCTTTTAATGAGAGCTGTGTATATTTTGTATTCTGCAGGGCACCAGGAATGGTGGTGGCACTCCTCAGCTGTACTTAATGACTATGAAAAGCAAGTTCTCCATGGCTATCATGTCCTTTGAGGTGCCAATGTTGTCTTACAGAAGAAAGGTGGAGCCCCTGAATCTCCTCTCACTTGCTTAATTCATTGCAAACTTTAGAGAACACATCCTATAATGTTCCAAAGCTCTAATAATTTAGCTTTTCAGAGCAAAAATGATCTTTCACTTTCTCTCTGTATGTGTACACACACAAACACATACACAGGTCAAAACATTATACAGCATAGAGGAGGTTTAGAACTTCAAAGTCACTGCTATTTCCTCTGTGCGTTTTGCTTTTGGGTGGCTTTTTCCTTTTACTGCAAGCTTTACAGGTTTGGAAAGTGGGGTATTTTTCCTTCCATTCTTCAGTAATTCAGCACTCAATCTCTTCTTTTTATTCCATGACTTTTCCCACCTGGTTCTTTAAAATTTGATAGCATCTTTCCCTCCAGTAAACAAGAGGAATAATGACAATATAATTACTGAATCCCATGAGAACAGCCACAAGCTCTGGTCCATATGGTGCCTGGGAGGATGGCAGATACTTCAGTGCATCTCTGCAATGTGATGAAACGGTCCCAAGATCTGGATTGGCAGAGGTGGCCTTCCAATTTCTTGTGTGGAGAGCAATTTCTGGGGAGGCCACACACACTTTCTGACGACACAAACTAACTTAACCAACCATTCTCTCTGGTCTGAGGAAAACTAAATGGGTGAATTTCCCTGACTCATGCTTGACATTTGTACTTATTGTTTTCCACCTGTTTCACGGAGCTTTGCTCTTGGCTTTTATTGGCTGATCTTTTCACCCGTTTCTCCTCTGCCACCTCTTCGTCCTTCAGTGAGGGTCTGTGTGCCCAAACTAGCTCAGTGCAGTGAGATTCAGAGAGCAGACTGCAGATGGGCTTCACTTCTGAAGTACAGTAATGGCATACCTTTACTGTTGTTTGCTTAGTATTGTTCTTCTCTAAATAGCTATTTATGCTCTTGAAGGATCTAATTTTGTTTTTTCTAAGAATAAAGTAATCTAAATTGTTATGTAGGGGAAAATCACATCACAAGATAAGGGGGAGCAGAATCTTGATGTTGTGTTTCTTTTAAAAAATTACATCTTTTTCAAACCCATAGAGTTTCTAAGGCAGAAGTGCTATAATCAGTTTAATCACTGACATGAATGAATTTGCCTGACTACCTTTCTGCTTTCTCTTTGTACAGGTTATTTGCTCAACATTGTGGAGAAAGTCCATGTCAAAGCCTAAAAAGAAACAGATTCTTCCTGAATGCTGTGTTGATGCTTTGGCCACAGCACCACCCATCTGCTGCACAAACAGCAGCCACATCCCAGTCCAGCTGAGTGCCCACAGGATAAAAATTATAGTTGTGAGAGGAGCTAAAGCACAGAGACCATCAGGATCCAAAACCTTCCCACTATGGCCTCTACTGCTTGCTTCATTATTTTCAGCACAGCCTTTCTTTCCCAAATAAGGGTAGATCACATTTTTATTTCTAGAGGGGAATTGAAGCAAAATCCACCATATTAAATTAAGTTCAGTTACATCTTCCCCATGTCTTTATGAGATGCAAGTCAAACCTTGGATGGGATGCCATCTGCACTCCTTGCCCTCTTTCTAAACAAATTCAACTGAATGACATGGCTTGAATTCATCTCAGCTATTATTCAGAGAATAAAATGAAGAGTAGCAGCATGTATCAATTAATTTTTCCTCATCCACAACCCAGCACTGTTTTTCCACAGTGAAACCAATGAATACAATCTCTGCTTTCATAAGGCTGCTCTGTGGTAAAAGTATTCCACAATTGCTTCCTATTGAGTTTAGCCCCAGTTTCTTTACTGAACACCATTACTAGCCAGGTACGGTGAGCAGAGCTGTCACTGGGAATTAGACAGACAAGCAAACTCTAATGAAGTGCTAAATCATTATTTTTAATACCTGTAGAAATCTTCTGATCATCACTGTTTCACATATGGTGTCAATATTTTTATACATCTTTCTATTATAGGTCAGGAATTGAAAGATTCGGGAAAAAAAATAAAAGTCTACTCTTATTTTTTCACTACATATTAGTTTGCTGGACTTGACAACCTGTTTTCTGATGTCCAAGCTTACAAGCCCTTTGAACTACTGTGAACACTGCTGGAGAGTTGGAAGAAAACAAATAAGGCACTGATTGAAAAAAATACAGAAGAACTAGGCTGATCATTACTATATTTTTTACTATAAACCACAGTGAGACAAACAATAAACAAAAGCCCTATGAGCACTCTGAGTCTGCAGCAAAAAATTGATAGAAATTTTTTGTTCACAGGGCGGGGAGCAGCTTTATGTTTTGGATCTGCAATGCCCATCACAGTGGGGCTCTGACCCTGATTCTGCATCCCTTGGTGCTGTGACAATGTACACATAAAAACCTGTCTCCCAAACAGGTAACTGCATCAGGACTGGTGAGAAAGAAATGTCCTCAAAAGCAGAGTCTCTCCCTTTTTCCCATCCCCAGAGAGAATCTGTGTCCCTCACCTTTTGCCTGGATTCCTCATGGAATTTTAAAGAAATGGTTCATATTTCCCAGGCCCTAAAGCAGCTCCTTGTGGGCAGCACAGGGAAGTTGTGCTACAGGTTTCCAGAGAAGGAGTTTGGCCCTTGGGATAACCTCAGCAATAGACACACTTGTTTTGGATATCTGTACTGAGCCAGACTTCAAGACCTTTTCTGGAGTGCTGTGTCTGCTCTCTGGCATCCTCTTCAAAATGAATGTGACCAACCAGAAACAGTTCAAGCAAAAAGCCTTGGATATGTGGAAAAATTTGCTTCACAAAGGCAGAGTTGAAGCTCTGTGTATTTAGCTTACTGATGAAGCCAGCACATGGCTTGCTCATAATTTATTAGCTCTTATGTTAAGAGAAGGTATTTGATAGTGAAAGGTGATGTAAGCAAGGCTGGACTTTTTTTCTGTTTTTTCTTGAGGAACAGTTTTTACTTTAAACAGAAGTTACTTGGCTCAGGAGAGTTCATTCACATAAGAGGGAACAGTAATTCCCTTAGGGGTATTAAGGGATTGAGTGCATGAAAAACTGCAGATGATCATGATGGTAACTCCTGACCTTGAAACTTGACTGTTTCCTAAAACTTCTGGGTGGAGGGATCATAAGAGAATGCACCATGGGATTTCAAGGATGCGCATAAAATCCTTCCTCAGCATTCTCTGAATGTGCCTGGAATAAGCACTGTGCTGTCCTACGCATTCAGATTTGGCTCAAGAATGTTAAACTGACCATAAAGCTAAATGACAGTGTAGCAGAGAACAGGAGGGATGGCTGGTGGTGTGTAACAGGTATTTCAGATCCTTACAAGCGATTATGAACAGAGGATAAACAACTCACTTCTTAATCACAGTGTGCCACACTCAGAGGAAAGGCAAATGTCATTGCAGAGTAACAAGTCATCTGACGGCAGAAAATAACCTGCTTATAGCACTTTCAAAGGTTAGTTCAAAGCTTGGAGTCAGAATGTTATCAGGAACTTGAGTTTCAATATTTGTGTTAAGCCAAGATGTTAAAGAAAAAAGTAGCGTTTTTAAGGTGGAGTTTAAGCAGGTTTTTGAAGATACTTCTAGGATGTAGTCATCTGTGGCAGGAGGGGGAATTAGGGTGATTCAAGAGATCTTTTCCCATTCCATACCTCTAAAATGTAATCATTCAATAAGAAGGGTTGTTATGCAAGGGACCAGCAGGCATATATAAAGATGTGACAAACCCCAAGATTTCATAGGAATTGTAGCTCATCTGTGTTCCTGTGTCTTCTCCAGGTCTGTACAAATTTGAGTTACAACCTGCTTGCTGAGCAGCACCGTGATTTCGTGGTTTCAGAAGGATTGCTAGTGGTCCATGGTCATGACCAGGCCTTTAATCAATCCACAAATGAAAAGCCATGCATCAAGACAGAACGTTTTAAGTGAACTCTCAGAATACTGCACCAAGTATTTCCTGCAATTGCCAGAGTTATTAAGTTTCTGCATTGTAGGAATTCTGAAAGTCTTTTTGTTTTAAATTTAAATGGTTTCAAATAGGCAAAATTCCCTTCAGTTTTTCAGCCAGCTCAACAGGGCAACACCAGTGGCTCAGAGAAAGGGGGAAGACAGGTCACCTTGAGAAGTGAGACTGACTGAGGATTTTTGCAAATGAAGAAGAGACAGGTCTTCACTGCCATGTCCTGGTTCCCCAGTTTTTGTATCTATAAGTCTGTGTGCTGTCCAATGGCTGCATGCAGTTTTTCCCTCATCCCAGTAGAAGATAGAACAATTGGGATCATGCTAGTTCAGTTCCATGAGGGTGATGTTTTGACACTGATATTTAGAGACAAATTATTTATTTTGGGCAACCCTGTTTATTTATCCTGCGTTGTTTTTCTTCCTGGACCAGTGGGAACAATCAACAAATTCATTTCCTTGTTGAGAAATGATGGTTGGACTTTTCAGTAAGCTCTCTGACCAAAAGAAGTGTTGGGTTCCTATTTCTACCCAGGGCCACACTCTTTTTTTGCTGTATGGTTGCTTTTTCCTTACTTTCACTCTCTGACTGATTTTAATAGAGCTGCAGCCAAGGAGCACTCCAATGCCTTATCTCCAAAGAAATCCCTAGGGACACATCTCACAATATGTGGTCAGCAGCTTGAGGATGGTCACCCATCATCAAAGAAAGAAAATTGTTTCTTTATTGAATGTAGGACACTTAGCCCCAGCATCAGCTTTTACCAGGCCTGTGATTTACAGCAGCTGTACAGTGTAGCAGCCTCTCTTGGTAGATAACATTTACATATTGCCCAGCCTTGCCTAACTTCTGTGTACTTTTCAATTACAAAATGGTCAAAAATCAGATGCTTTATGCTAAAAAGTTGTGATGCTCTTCAGTTTAGACAGATGCTTACACGTCTGCATGAACAAAGCCAAGGGCTAACATTTATTTTCATGTAAAACCTGTATTATTCAAGAACTGAAGAGAAAAAAGTCCAGTAAAATAAAGGTTATTGTGTAAATAGGGTTGAGAATGGGGGAAAAAAAAAAAAGCCATCTTATAAAAAACCATGATGTTTACATGGCACATTTTGGAAAAGTTCTTTGTCACTTCCAGGTCACTGTCATTGTAACAGGACACCTGTTCATTAAACCGTATGGCTACAAGATTCTTGGGAGGTAGAAGGATCACAGATTATGGCTTTGGCTACTGTTCAGCATATGAAATCAAGGAGAGGAGGAATTTAACAAGTGTGAGAGTGTTGTAAAAGCTGTCACCAAGCAGTGGCTGCACTAGCACTGGGAGAACCAGGAGCCCTGCTGCAGCTCTGGCACTGGGGTTTGGTGTGTAATCCCTGCAGTGGTACCTTGTTCAAATCAGAAGTGGACTGTGCTTGGCCTCCCAGAGCCCATCAGCACAACGACAGTGGGAATGGTCACTGGTGGAACTGGTGTGCCTGTGGGTGAGCAGGGCATTTACAAGCACTCAAAGGATTTTTGGTTTAAGGGTTGCGGTGCCTCAGTGCTTCAGGGAGTGGATTTGGCTGTAGACAGACAGAAAAAGGAACAAAAGAAGAGCTGAGAAAGTGCAAACCAGAATTTTTGAAAAACACTGTTTTACCCCGCCTTTGTTAAAAATTCAAACAAATACCCACCAGCTAAAAAAGTATATTGAATAATTGCACTTCAGATACCGTGCCAACAAAACACACATGGGCCACGGTGATAAAAGGTTTTCTCCCAGTGGAACAAATCACTTATCAAGCTATGATACAAAGTAAGGAAACATTTCAGTACAAGTGAACTTTAGCTTCACAATAGCTGCAATAAGGGAATGCTGACTTTCAGCTGCCTTATTTGGAGGAGAACTATCCAGACCTACCCACAGCCTTTACTTATCTGCTATTGTGTAATTTTTAATGTTATATTCGCTTATGTGTGCCCCATAATGACTATTTTCCACTAGAGAAGTACAGCTACTATTTTGCAGCCTCGCATGTTTCCTTCAAATTGTCTTCTCCCTCTTTTCTCAGCCACTTTGCCTCTTGCTTTCTTTCTGTATATCGTGGCCGTTTTCCCTCTCTCATTCATTTTCATACTATCCCTACCATTTCTTTTGTCTCTTTTTCCTTTTCCATCCTTCATATTCTGAGTCTGGCACAAAGCCCATAGACCATCATTTTCTCTTTTCACCTATTTCCTCCTCCATGATGTTTTCATCAAACAATTGAAAAGAGAGAGAAAAATTTGGAAAAGCTTTTTCAGTTATCCTAAGCTATGTATTCCTCTCTATGTCCTTTCTCCACATGAGGAGACCAGCAGCTTGCCCAGGAGGGGTTATCAGAGCCACATCTGTACTGTGGTTGGGGGTGCCAGGAACTGGAACAAGACATGGGGTTGTAATGTGGAATAGTGCTCAAAAATGGCACCTACATTTTTTGTTATCATGATGCAAAAAGAAAGTTGAGATTCCTCTGAGAATCATAATTAAGCTGATTTGAAAAGCATTGCAAAAAAAGAATCTTGTAGCAATGGAATAACACAAAGATCTCTCTGTGAGATTGAGGTGTTTATTTGCAGTGCGTTATTACAGGACCTGTGTCTGCCTGTAGCTCATGATGGTCTTTTTTTTCTTTTCTCTGCCACAGATAGTCTTAAAATATGGACATTTAAACCTCATGAAAGTAAAAAAAAAACTGAAAAGATAAACGAAACAACCCTTCGAACCTCAGCAGGTGATAACACAGTGGCATTATTTAGAGCCTTTCCTCACTTTTAAACTGGTTTTACTTCTTTGTTTGCTTGTTTGTTTTTACAAGTACTGGAGAAATGAAGGGACTCTCCAAATTCCACCTGAGGAGGACATACTTTTTATGTTCAACATATGTTTGGAAGACATCCACAACTTACCAGGAGGTAAAGCGATCCCAAATGCACCACTCTGCACTTGTATTAAAGAGAGACTAGGGGACACTATATATGTTTGAGCAGCTGAATGTGAGGAAAACAACTTATTTTTCAGGAAAAGGGTACATCAGCTGTGCTTTAATGCCCATTTTGCGTTAACATTTCATGACTAGAGGGAACTTGTAGATGCAGAAAGTCTATTGACACTACTCAGCCTAACCCAAGACTGTTGCATTTATCTTCTTTTCTCTTGTTAGCAAAGAAAAAGGATTACAATGTACCAGGCTACTCCTCCTTGTTGGAGGCAGCAAGTAGTGCCACGTATGACCTTTTGTTACTTTGACATGCTACCTTATAAGCTGGTAGCTTTAAGAAATGCAAGGCAGAAAAATTTAATCTCCTGGAACATGATGTAAAGCCATTTAATTATTTTTAAGACATTCTTTGAGAATGACTGGGTTGCTGCTCAAAGGTGGGGCCTGTGAGTGTGACTAAAGGTTTGCACTTAACCAAAAAAGGCCTCCAGGGTGTCCCGGGGCTGTTAAGGCAGGCTGTTTCCTGGGCTGGCCTGTAAACTCCAGGCACTTGGAGATCCTGGATGCTTTCCAACCAGGCTGCCAATTTTCAGACAAGCATGGGTAATTCTCAGGCTCACCCACTCCTACCCACGAGCTGAAGTTTCTTTTCCCCTGACAGCCACAGTGCTTTTTCTTTGGCTGTGATCCCACTAAGCACCCACAGCACAAATCCAGTCCTGCCATTGCAAAAGATACAGGCTCCTGAGTATTAGGGATGGGTGAGAGATGGATTTCTCTCTACAGGGAAAGCAATGGGTTTGAAAAATCCTTCTTTCTCAGAAGGAAACAAAGGCATTCCGTTTTTTCCCAGATTTCCTGAGGCCAAACCAAATTCCCCCAAAACGCTCTAAAACCCCCTTTTTGAGCTGCTCTCAATGTTTAATTAACAATAAAAACTCAATCTCTCATTCTTACCCCACCTTGAAAACTAATTTTTTTCATGTACTATAAAGTAAGACCCTGTAAATTGTCTTATCAATCTGAAAAACCGAAACATTTGCTTTCAGAAAGTTCAGGTGAGACCTCTGAAGACTTTCTCTAAAAAAATTGTTTTCCAAAACTAGTTCTCTTTGAATCTGTCCTGCTTAGATTAAAAACCCCATTACCTTTATTTTTTTTTCTCTTTTTTCTGCTAGGAAAGGCGTTACCATAGAAGATTTCCATGCAGCTCTGTAGTGGGCTGGTCCACGGAGATACTAAGGACGATTTACCAATCAGTGGTAGAGAAGAGAAGTATTTGGAACAAAACTTGAGCTGGCATCTCCCTCAGCCTTCTCCTCTCCCAGTGATGTAGCTGCATCTGCTCCCCGTCTCCTAACACAAGCCTATCCCACCACTCCCCTAACCTGTAATACAGGCACAACTGGAGATTACAGAAAAAGGGCTTCAGCCACTGAAAGAAGCTGAAAAGCTTTTGTGATTGAGACCTCACAGGAAGATGAGAAAACAGTTCTTCTCGACAATGGCTATAAGATTTGGTGCACTTCTCCCTTGACACTCCATTTTGTTCTAGCAGTAGTAATGTCTCCAAGGACTGGATCCAAAGACTGTTGAGGCCAACTGAAAAAATGCTTTATGATGAATTTTCCTGTAATTTTGAAAATCCTGACTTTTTTTTTTTTGAAGGAGGAAGAACCACTAGCTTATTTATCCTCTTTTCTTTACCAATGCCGGTTGTGGTAGTACCAGGTTTTGAACTGAACTCTAAACCTTAATTACTGTAGCAGTGCCATAAAAAAAAGTCGTTCTAATTCTGGGAATACAAACATTCAGTTGTCTCTCAAAGTCTCATCCAGAACAAAATGTCTTTTAAAAGGCATTTATCTTTTAAATCCAACCGCTCTGCTCTTCTTGTCACCACCTCCAACCTCTAGTCCTAAGAGTAAGTTTCACGGCTTTCCTTATACAAAACCTGACCTAAAAGAAAAAACAAAGCAGGGTTTTGGGGATAGAGATGTTTCTCCTCCTGTGCTGGGTGGAAGAATACTCTCATTAAAGAGAGAAAGGTTTTCCATCCATTCTCAGCCAAGGGACTGTGTTCACATTTCAGCTGACCAGACAGGGCTATATGGGTCTCAAGGAGTTTCTGTGGCAATGGATGAAAATATTTGTATCTGGATTTGTCTTCTGCTGCTTTTGTCAACACCAGAAAAGGTCAATGTTTTTTCCTTGGTCAGGGAAAGATGTTGTCTAGATTTACAACAGCATGAAAGCTGAAAGAAGAAAAGCAAGAAGTAGTTTTGGCAAGTGGTAGGCCCTTCAGTGTCCAGGAACCATTAACCTGCTAAAATGAAACTGTTTCTTTTTCTGTCCCCAGGACACTTCTCTCATTCCCATAAGCGCAATCCTTCCAAGCAACTTGGAGAAAGCCGAGTGTGTTAGCAAAGCTCCCCAAAACGTCCCTGCTCATCTCTTCAAGCAGACACTGCAGAAGGAAAGCAACAGCCTGATCAAGCCATAATATAAAGAAAAAAACGAACCACACTGATTCTCTTTTCCTCTTGCTAGCCCCAGTATTTAATTTCTGACTTTTAGATTCTGCTGAAGTCTAAACACAGCAACACGGCACTGAACGAGAGGCTTTCTAAATTTTAGGGAATCTCTAGTCTTGCATTTAAAGTCTAAAGGAAATACAATGCTTATTCTGCGTATCTTCGAAATAAATCAACAACCAAGCACGATTCCTATCCTAGTGCTGCTGGAATGAGAAGCTAGATTCATAAAATGTTACACTATGGAAATCTAGAGTAAGAGTGCATTAAATCTGAGCCTTGCCCAGAACATTGATATTTTCCTGTCAGATTCCCATCGCTGCAACCTTTTTTTTGCCCTGTTTTTTACAAATGTAGGTTCCCTACATTTTTTGACTAGGAAATGAATACATGCAAGACCTCAGACTGCATGATTCTGGCAACACGAAGCAGCAGACATTTAAAAACACATTTATCATTTCAAGGAAGCCATTCCAGGTTGCTTTTTTCAGAGTGTGATTTAAAGCAATTTTGAAAATGTAGAACACTAAAATAAGAGGAAGATGGAGACATGACTATCTGTATGCTTCCAGATTCATTCAAGAAGAACAGGATACTCAAGAATATACATAAGAGTATAAAAGAGTAATTTCTGTGAAGAGTAGTTTCAAATCAAAATTCTTGGTTTTCCTCAACTAACGGAGAAAAAAGTTGCCAAATGGCACATTTTAGGGTTAACAAAGCAATGGTTGTTATTCATGCCCACTATGGCATATAAGTGAATACAGAAATAACTCATCAATGGTTTGAATTGGCATTGGATTTTTAAATCTGGTGGTTCTGATTTTAATTTAACATATCCTGTGGTGCAGTGTGTGAAATATGTACTTAACCCAGATTGTTGTGAGATGAAAGCACGCTCGTGTTTATTTTACATTATTTGCTGTAGTTTGTTGAAAGCCAACATTCCTGGGCAGTGAATGCAGCAGGGATGAATCATTTGAACTAGGTGAGGGGTTAGGAGCTGGAAGAAAATGAAAGTTAAATAACTACACTAAATTTCAGCAAAATAGGTTAAAAAATGTAACACTAGAAAAACTTTTATCTTCATTCTGAGAAAGGGAATTGTGGCACTTACTTCTATGGGGTTTCTACCAGTACTTTTAATGCCAGCCATGATTAGAGATAATTAACATCACACACTTCCTACCTTCAGAACTGAGGTGCTGAAGCAAAGTTAAATACAAATTGCTTCCAGGAGCTTTAGCAAATGCATCGAATGACAGTGTAGCACCAGGGAATCCATCCTAATGATTTACTATTCATATCACCATAGTTCACATGAATCTTAATCAAGGACCAGAACATCACCAGATTGAGTATTGAGTGGTTAAGAAAAAAAGATGGGCCCTGTGCTAGAGAGCTTAGCACCGAAGCAGAGGCAAAGGGGAATGACAAAGTAGGCGAAGAGAAAGGAGAGCAGAAGGAAATGATGGAACAGCAGCACTAGAAACGAGCTCAGCACAGGGACAGTCCACAGGAAAGATTTTCTGAGAGCATCCCAGAGGCTGTTAGTGATGATTTTGACAGAAGACAAGAGAGTCGCTGTGTGGGTGTTTGTGGTGGGCCTGTCTCACACCTGAGGAGTTGTGGGAGTGAACGGGCAAAGGTGCTTGTCCAGAAATCTGTCAAGCGGGAAAACGAGGTTCCAATGAAAGGCTAGATGAGGGCATAAATTATATCTGGTTAGTGGGTGATGCCCTGGGGAGACTTGAAAGCAGAACGAAGGGGCTTCTGCTGCACATATCAGGGCAGGGAGAGGGGAGGCAGAGGCAGTAGCAGAGTGAAAGCGAGTCATGAGGAAAGGATGCTCATAGCAGTGTTTGAGCTGGGTACAAGTTGGATGAGAGTGCATGTTGAGGCCAGAAAGAAAAGGAGGTGGGAGTAGCTGAGATTTGAAATGCCAGAAGCCTGCACAGGAATTTTAGCTTAAAGGAGATGAAAGGCCACAGGGTAAAGATGGTAACCAGAAAAAAATAAAAGAAAAAAAGAAAAAAATTACTGAGGATGTGAGAAGTCTGAGCCAAAGATGCCTCCTAGGATGCCTGTGGGACAGGCAGCATGCTCCTGAGGCCATATGGTACATCCCAGGGCTGTCAGCTGAGCTGTTCCCACCATGCTGGGCTTCAGCTGGAAGGGGAGTTGTCTTTTGGGTGGTGGTAGAGGGAGAGGAGCAGGGACGCAGATCTGTAAATCACAAGGGACAGGGGAAGAGCATTTGAATTTGGGCCAGTAGGTGAGGTTGCACAGAGATAGCACGAAGACACCAGAGCAGAAGAGAGAAGCAGATGCAGAAGTCCCTTGAAAGTGGGACAGTGAAGAGGAGCACCTGCAGAAGGAAGACTTGAGCAAGAAGGAGAAGCCAGAAGGTCACCAAGGGAAGATGATGGCTCTGTGGGTGCCTGGCTAGTGAAAGACTCAAGTGCTTTCCCCAGGGCTGTGCGCTGCTCCCTGTGATTTCACCATCTGGTCTGCAGAGGTCTCTTGCTGGTCTCCGACTTTCTTCCTCCTCCTTCCTGTCTTTAGCTGCTCTGCTCTCCTTGCTCAGGTGTGAACAAACATTAAGGAGACCGAGGACAGGCTGGGACATCCTGCATTAAAGATCAGCATTGCTGAAACCCAGAAGAAGCAGAGGTGCTGAAAGCTGCTGAAGTCAGGGTATCAGTGGGGCAGGTGGAAGAGCTGGGACAGAGGAGGCAGAACAGTGACAGAGGCTTTGCTTTCCTGGGGCTAGCTAACATGAGAGTTGCACAGCCACAAGGTTCATCATCACCCTACTCCCCCGATTTCAGTTTTCAGAGACAGCATGGTTAGTCCTTCATCATCCTGTCAGTCTGGTCCAGATGGCAGAGACTCAGAGCAAAGCAGTTATTCACCAGGAGTGATTGGACAAGGACAATCTCTCGCTAAAAGCAGTAAAGTTCCATTCAATTAAGACTGTACTATGTCTAGGAGCATTAAGGGCTGGACTGACGTAAAATGAAGGTGGTCCTGTGACTTTGGCCCTTCTTACGTCTGCACTTAGTGTATAGCTTCCATAATTGTGGTTAGTGCAATTTTTTTTGTTTATCGTAGGCTCATGCCCTTCAAAAATCATGGGAATACTTTGTCTGGAGTGTTTTGTGGTCACTCTCTGAATTATTTCTCTCAGGTAGAAAGATAAAGATGCTTAAATTTCTAGACTCACAGATTCATCAGAATTGGAAAGGACCTGTAAGTTCATTGAGTTAACTCAGCATTGCCACGTTCACCACTAAACCATGTCCCCAAGTGCCACATCTAGACAACTTTTGAGCATTTCTAAGGATGGTGATTTTATCACTTCCCTGGGCAGCCTGCTCCAAAGACTGATCACCCTTTCAGTTAATTTTTTTTTCCCCCTAATATCCAGTCTAAACCTCCCCAGGTGAAACTCCTTAGACTCCTTTGGATATGCAAGCTCAGATCCAATTCACAGGTACCTACTCGAGTTTTGGGCTGACCTGCTTGAGCCGCAGAGGCTTTTGATGGTGCTGAAACCCTTGCTTCTGTGCTGCGTAGCTTCTTTGCCCCTGACACGGCAGGAGGACATAACTCGTGCCCTAAACGGCTTTAGGATCTGGTGATGGATGGACTCAGCACGACCCAAGACGGGTGGGATGCTGCGGGGCATCTTCAGGGGCTCAGCCCGCGGTGGAGGGGGATCGGAGAGTTCCCATTCCAAGGCTGCCGGTCTTGAGGTGTGCTCTCGGTGGGGACTGCCCGCTGGTGAGGGGAGAGAGAGAGATGAGGGGCAGCGGGAGGAGCGGCGGCTGCATCGCGGAGCGGCGGCCGCCCGGGGGAGCGCAGGCACCGCGGGCCCCGCGCAGGGAGCGCCTGCAGGGCTTGTACGGCAGCCGGCACCAGGCTGGAGCGGCTGCTTTCGAACCCCATTCAGAATAAAACATTTATCCCCCCCCCCAACCCCCCATCCCCCGTTCCGTGCGTTACATAAATTTAAACTTTTTCTTCTTTCTTTTTTTTTTTTCCTCCTCCCCCCCCCACTTTATCGGAGCTCTCAAATATTCTGAGAGAGAGGGTTACAAAATGTGTTTACTTACTTACAAATTTGGAAGTAGCGACAAGACGCAATGCAGTGAATTTGTCATCTGCTCATGACTAGCAGATGGTCCTCCTTCTTTGCGAGCAAAACTGAGTGAGTCACATCTTGCCTGGTTCGGAGGATCGAACCGAGGAGCTCTCTCTGGCGCCAGGGTGGACGGTGTCGCCCGTCGCCGACCATGCCCACACAGCCAGTGGGCTCTCCGGCACCGGGGTGGGTTTCACCCTGCCTTTTCCAAAGGTCCCTCGTATTCCTCCTTCTTCCACGTTAGGTTAATTCGGGCGCGCTCCTGTCTGTAGAGACCGCTTCACGTGTCTCTCGCAGTGCAAAGGGATCTTTAAACGGGAACACATCACATTAACATTTTACAGACGAGCTGAAAGAGATAACTGTGAGTTATGCTTAAACGGGCTCATTTTTTAGCACTGGATGAAGCCAAAGTGGGAAATGCAAAAGAGCCTTTTGAGACCCTTTTGCCTGGAGTCTGTGCTGCTGCAGACAGTGCTGTGAAAACACAGTTCCCTGCACCAAGGCATGGTATGTTGAAGGTGGCTCTAAACTGTGCTGTTAGTCAGTAACAAAACAAAACAAAATTAAATTTAAAAAGTGCAACTCTGCACCGGTTTAGGGGTCTGTGCAGAGCTTGCAGGATTGGAGTTTCTTGTCCTGGTAAACCGATAAGGCTTGATTTTATTACAAGTATATTAGAAAGTTGTTTTACAAGGAAAGTCATCTAACATCCTCTCCTTCCTTCCCTCTCTGCTTCATGCTGATTTATCTTATTAGCTTTTTCCTCAGTCATGACACATTCCTGGTTTTGTCTTATCATGTAAATCTGCGTAGATGATTGGTTTTCCTCTAACTTCATATGTGTGTGTGTGTGTGTGTGTACTCTTCACAGCAGAGCAAAAGGGTAATGATACAAAAATGAGATGCTGAGAGTGATGGGGAAAATTCAGCAAAGATATCAACCTAAAAACGTTTTGAAACGCTTTTTTGTGAAGTGGCTGGGCTTCAAGCTGACAGGCTCTTCTAAAATGAATTCATTTCCAAAGCTGTCATTTATACAGCATGATACCTGTTGCTCTTTGCTGGATGCAAGAGTTCCACTCACTCACTACCAGCGATGGGTAAGTTATGTGCTTCTGCCAGATGCTCACATGTTTGCACAATGTGAGACACACGAATTGTGCTTTACTGTCTTTAAGTAGCAGAGTCCATGTGAGTAATGTAAAGAAACAGTTCTGGGTTTCCTTGCTTTTCATTTTTTTTTTCTGAAATGTTTTCTTCACTGGCTTTCAGAGAAAAGTACTCCAGATGAAGGCACCAGGCACCTTTTCATTTCACAGGCACCAGCAGACAAGCAATCCTCTTGTTTCTGAAAGAAATGCTAAAATCCACGGAGCAACAGTGAAGAAACTCATGTTATTCTGGTAAAAACATCCTAGCCTGGCACCAGTAGCTGCTATTTGGAGATCCCGGAGCTGGAACCAACCTGTGAGCACCATTTTTACCTGTTGGCTTCCAAAGTGCTTTAGATTCCTGCCACAGCATAAAGAAGGGCTTACGGATGAATGCCAAGATCTCTTTGTGTGCTGCAGCAGGGGAGAACTGGGAGGTGTGGAGGTGTGTGTATGAAGTAAACAGAGCCACAGACTCACCCTAGGTCTGCTGTCCTGCTCCAGCAAAATCCCCCCGTACCTTTCAACTGGCTACAAAGGAATAGTTGTCAACTCCAGCTCATGGGTTTGCAGTCTCTACTACTACTTTGAATTAGAAAATGAGGGGTCTGGGGGACCAGAGGAGTCTTAGAAATGAAATCAGTTTTTTGGAGGCCCTTATCTGGGCTTTCCACCTCCAGTGGGTGGGACTTGCTGGCCCCCAACATGTCTTGGCCCCAGGCAGAGCACAACCACAGTCCATCCCTGACATTTCTCCCAGAGTCTTCCTTTTCTGCTTCAGAGAAAGCTGCTCTGGAAAATTGTCTCCCTGCAAGGAGACAGAGCTTGAGCTGATTTCTCTGCCTGAGCTCCTCAGCAGTCGCTGTGAGAGTGCTGCTGCTGAGTTACCATCCAGAGTGTGGGTATGGGAAAGGGAGGGGAACTGAGGGCTGGTTGTAATGGAAACATGAGGGGGTTGCTTGCAGAGATGGATCGTCTTCAGGTTTGGGAAGGGTGACATTTATGGGAGCCTATGGGGACTCCACTGCATCAAACCACCATCAGGAGAGTTCTCCAAAGTGCCAAGAATAGGTTTGTCCTCTTGGTCCCTGACAAGAGCCTCCTCTCTCCTCTCATTGCTGCCAATAAATCCAGGATTAGGAAGCTGACAGCCGCCCACATGCTCTGGAAAAATACAGTGACCAAATGCAAAATTTATAGCCTGCAATATTGCCGTAGGTGGGGATATAAAATACTTTTGTGGGGTTTTTAGGCTTGGGATTCCCCGTGGATGCTGGCAGCGACACACCTATCCTGACCCATTATCCCCCCTCAGTGAGGCATGCTGAAGGGCAGGGCTGGCAGGCCACCATGCTCCTTGTCACTGCAGACTCCCAGGGATGGATGCTGTCCTGCACTAAATCCCAGATGCTCTGGAAAGGTGCAGGTTGCCTCTGCCTGATACACCCTGAGCCTGGCTTTTGTTCCACACTCAGATGCCTTTGCCTTGGGTCAGTGCTGTTCTTCTTTTACTCTGCCAAGACCCCCAAGGCCTGGCTGGTCGCCCTTTTAAGCAGCCTCATTCAGCACCTAAGACCCTTCCTTAGGGCCTTAGCAGCTCGTTGTGTGGATGGTCCTGCACAGGCAGGCTCAGCCCTGAGCTAAACTTTCTCCACAGAGCCCTGTTTGCCTGCTGGAACCTTTGCAACACCTGTGAGACCAAGAGGGACAAGATGCCAACAGTGAGGGACTGAAGTCACCTTGTGGCTGCCGTTGCATCTCTGCCCTATGCACACATCCTGTGGGCCATGCAGCCCCTCTCCTCCCTGCTCCTCACACTGTGCTGTAAAGAAACTGATTGTGGATTCAGAGAAAATGAAAGAATTTAACGGGAGTGAAATGTCAGGGATCAGTAAAGAGGGTGCAGATGGCAGCAGGACTTTCTCAAACACAGGCACCACAGCCAGTCAGCGCTAGCCTGGTGGATTTTCCCTTGCTAACAAGCACTGCTTGCCACTGATCACTGTTGCTTTACCAGGTTTGGTGACCCCATGCTCACAGAGGAGAAGGAGACAAGAAGGAACCCTGGAGAAGGTCCATGGGAGGCCCAGGTATGAAGTCTGCAGGTGGAAAATTAAATCAACAGAAACTGTGAATAAAAAGAAGTGGCACATCGAGCTCACACAGGCTTGACATTTTTTGGTTTCTACAGCGTCTGGGATCTAGTTCTGAAACTCACGAGTAAAATCATAACTTGGGAGGATGAAGTGGCAAAGACATGCCAATCTCACCTGTGTCTTCATTGTTGCTGTTGGAAATAGAGAATTACAGCTGTGAAATTTAGATGCTGCAAAGGACTGTCAGCCAGCCAGCTGTGGGGTTTCACCTCTAAGTTGAAACTCTCTTGTAGCGGGCAAGTTTCTCATTACATTTGAGTTTCCCTTTTGGGCCTACTGGGATGAATACAAACCATGATTCATTCCCGGAAAAGAAGTGCTGCATCTCCATTGGAGGTGCTTTGGGTAAATGGGACATTCTGATATATGTATTCTGCAACCCACAATGAAACTTTGAATAAGATACCTGGGACACAGAAAAATCATCAGCCACTGGCAAACCCATCATCTCAGTGTTGGATTTGCCCATGGCAGGGGAGTTGAAACTAGATGATCTTTCAGGTCCTTCCAACCCAGGCCATTCTATGATTCTATTGATATTTAGGAAAGGGCAGAAACCCAGATGCAAATCAAACACATCTATCTTGCTCCTAAGTTATTTGGTTTAAAGCAGGATCAGTGAGAGACAAACAAACCCCTCACTGAAACCAGATAAGCCTATGGATGAAATGGTAAAGAAAAAATTGCCATTAAATAACTATAATGAAACAGACAGATGTCCTGATTCTAATATATGACTAATAAATGACAGTGGCTGGTCCCTATACCTTCCCTGTGCCCCAGCTTCCAGCATAAAATTACAAGTGTATTCAACTACTTCAAAAAGACCTTGCCGAGATCAACTATTTCATGTTTAATGCATGCTTCTTATACCTCACGTGAAGAAAACACAATGCAAGGGCAAATCTTACCAGAAACAGAATTACACTTGATTTCCAGACCTATCTTAGCCTCAAGCAAGGGAGAAGTCTGTACAGTGTAGTTAAGATGATTAACCATAACTGAAGCCACATGTACCCTAGACTGGAAGAACTGCTAAATCTCCAAAGTTGGCCCAGTCATGTCACTGAAAGTGAAACCATACACCTGAAGAAGATTGCTACACTCATATGTTAATTTTTCTGGTGATACTAGTTGATCTACTTTTACCCACCAAGGGAAGTACAAGCTGTTCCTATTGAAATGTCCTGAGAACACCCCAGAGGAGCTTTCAGACTTGCTTGAAGTTATATTCTGGGTCCAGCCTGACACAGAGATCAACATCTTGTTCTTCCTTTTCCAGTAGCTTTCATGTGCCTGGCTGAGGCTCTGAAGACAAACGACCTGTTCCAAAAAATAATCCAAAGACTTGACTTTCTCTGGGAGGAAGATGTGATAAGAACACAGATGTCATCCAGGGCACATAAGGGAGAGCTCCTGGTCCTGCTGCATGGCAAATCTCCTGCCAGAAAGTCCTGTAGGAGGAAGCAATATGAGTTTGTGAGACCAGTGCTAAGGATGAATTCATCATCCACCACTGTGCTCCAACTGCTAAATAGCTACTTGCAGCTGAGTCCAGTTCTTCTCAGTATCCGAAAGAGAGAACTAAAGTTTTGCTAAAGAAAACCCAGCCTCTGGTCTCAGGGGATATGAGATACGCTTTTATTGTTAATTTGTATATTTTCCTTGCTGCGGATATCATCTGAAGCTGCGGAGGAGGAATGTAGATGGAGGTTTTTTCCAAATTTGTATTGTTTGGGGTAGACATGCTAGGCAATAAACCTGAAACCTGGGAGGGGTGGGAGGGACGGAGGCTGTGCTTGAACTTTAACCCCAAGTACTTCCCAGCTTCTTGGGCTGTGTCTGCGCAGCCCAAAAAACTTTGGGCTTCCCAAACTGTCTCCAAGACACACTGATATGGATCAACGTAACTCCTTCCTTAACTTTCTGACTATTAACGTTTTCTAACAACAAATCCGAGCTGTGATAAGGCAAACGGGTGAAGAAAGACCTTACGAAAGAGAAGCGAAACGGGAGCTGATTCAAGCGTCTGTAATTAGTTAATGGCTGTGAATATTTATGAAATCTCCCTGCAGTGGCAGTGAAGTGCTGATCCTAGAGAAGTGGACGCCCTCTTCCTTGATGTCTTTAATCCTTGCAGTCCCAGC